CTTTTTGAGTCCCCACTTTCACTTCTTTTGGGTATATATATTTAATACCTAGGAGTTCAGAATTGCTGGATCATATGGAAGTTCTATCTTTAATTTTTTGAGGGACTGCCATACTGTTTTCCTTACCAGCTGTACTATTTTACATTCCTTTCAACAGTGCAGAGGAGTTCCAGTTTCTCAGTTTTTTAGTTAGGTCTTTCTGATTAGTCTGTCTCATGGTACCCCGTTATATTCTTTCATAACATTTACTGCAGTTTCTAATGATGCATTTTGTATGTTTTCAGTTTCTACCTTTTCAACTAGACTGTACACTTGAGCAGGGATGATGGTAGTTTTTTTAGTATCACCATAGCATTCTAGTATGATGCCTGATATATAGCAAGCTCAAAAATAATGATTATGTAACTAACTGAATGAATGAATACATGATGTGCTTATTTTGTGCCTGGTACAATATTGAGCATATTTTATATGTTAATTTTATTTTCACTACAATCCTTTGAGGCAGGCAGTATTTGTAACCTCACTTACATATGAGGGAACTGAGGTATGGAGAAGTGAAGTAGCTTGCTCAGAATTAAGCAAGTTAGTGAGTATTGGAGGTGGCATCTTAAAATTAAAAATTTTTTAATTGACACATTATAATTATACATATATATGGGGTACAACTTAATATTTCAATATATGTATATATTGTATAATGTTCAAATTAGGGTAGTTAGCATATTCATCACCTCATGCATTTATCATTTCTTTGTGGTGAGAACATTCAAAAACCTCTCTCCTAACTATTTTGTAATATGAAATACCTTACTGTTAACCATAGTCACCCCACTGTGCAATAGAACATGGAACTTATTCCTCCTGTCTAACTGTAACTTTTTTCCCCTCTACCAACTTTTCCCTATCCTCCCCTCTCCCATCCTTTCCCCAAGGAGGTGGTATGTTAGTACTTGTCTGTCTATACAAAGTTTATGCTTCTAATCATTCTTAACTCTAGAGGTAGCATGTGTTCTGCGGTGTGTTGGGATGGTGTTAAATAATTCCACAAATTCGTATTTTGCTTTTGATGGAATGACAGTCTGTGAAGGTTTACAATATATATTTTTTTAATCTTGAGTTTTTCTGTGATGATTTTTTAAATAATACATTTGCATGTTCCTTTTTTCTCTGAGTTTAGAAATCTTAAGTTTTATCAGCTCTAAATATTGAGTACTTTGACATCTTTACTCAAAAATTCCCTCAAATTTAAAATTTTACAAATAAGATGTACTTTGATGGTGTTGATAGGGATTATCATGAGCACACACTTCATAAAAGTTTAAAATATACATTTGTTGATTGGTGATGTGGAATCCAAGAAGTATCATTTGAAAAAACTTATTTTAATAAAAGCAATGCTTATACATTGCAAAAAGGTCGAATGTAAAGAAATATTTAAAATAAAAAGTAAAAATAAAATGTCTAGCCTCAGCATAATAGTTTTTTATACATTCTTATTTGTACTGTTTCATTTTACTCAAATAAGATCATAATATAATGCTGTTTCCATTTAATAATATCTTTTGGATATTTTTTCTTAGCACATACACACTATAGACTAAACAGTATAGACCATATACTTTTTAAGGGGTGAATTGTGTTCTATTGTATGGATATACCATTATTTATTTAATCTGTCCTCTTATAATGTAAATTTGGATTGTGTATTTGTTTATTTGACTTATGTAAACCATGCTGCAGTGAACATTCTTGTCCATATATCTTGGTATGCTTACATGACTATATATATATAGGGTAAATTACTATCAGTGATATTGCTGAGTAATACCACTGATAGGCCAATACTCTGAGAGGCCAATTTGCCCTCCAAAATTGTTGCATCAAATTTCTATAAGATTTTTCTCTTTACGCACACCTTCAACAACTTTCAATATTTGTACATATGAATGACAAATGTTTCAGTGGTGTTTTGATCTTTGTTAATTTCTTCTTTTTCTCATCTTTTTTTTTTTTTTTTTTTTTTTGAGACAGAGTTTCTCTCTATCCCCCAGGCTGGAGTGCAGTGGTGCGATCTCAGCTCACTGCAACCTCCGCCTCCTGGGTTCAAGTGCTACTCCCACCTCAGCCTCCCAAGTAGTTGGGATTACAAGTGTGTGCCACCATGCTTGGCTAATTTTTGTATTTTTAGTAGAGATGGTATTTCATCGTGTTGGCTACCAAGAGATCTTCCCACCTCAGCCTCCCAAGTTGCTGCGACCACACACGCATCACCATGCTCAGCTAATTTTTGAAAATTTTTTGTAGAGACATGGTCTCCTTATGCTGCCTAGGCTGATCTTGAACTCTGGAGCTCAAGCAATCCTCTTGCCTTGGCCTCCCAAAGTGCTAGAATTACAGGCGTGAGCCACCACGCCTGGCTGCAATTAGATGTATTTTTCAAGTTAAACCTCAACAAGGATTCTGTTATTAGTAAGCTTTCTGAAAATCAGTAGATTAGACTCGTTAACATGGTTCTCAAAGGAGATTTTATTAAATGTAAAACTTGAAGATGTTACCTCTGTCAATGCTCATTTGAAAAATGCTTTGGTTTTTAATGCTGTGTATTCTGGCAGATAAAAATGTGTTTGCTTGGAAACCATGGACACCTTAGTGAAAGGAGATATGAACATTTTACCTCCAGGGTTTAATTAAGCATTTAGTTTTTTACATGTAAATTTTTCTGGTTGTAAAAGTGATGCATCAGGCTGACGTGGTGGTTCACACCTGTAATCCTAGCACTTTGGGAGGCTGAGGTGGCTGGATCACTTGAGGCCGAAAGTATGAGAGCAGCCTGGCCAAGATGGTGAAACCCTGTCTCTACTAAAATAAATAAATAAATTTATATATTTATATTATATTATCTATTATATGTAAATATATTTATATATTTATATATGTATATATTTATAAATAAATATATAAAGATATATGAGAGAGAGATATATATATAAACTAGCTGGGTGTAGTGGCTCATGCCTGTAGTCCCAGCTACTTGGAGGATGAGGCACGAGAATTGCTTGACCCCAGGAGGCGGAGGTTGCAGTGAGCAGAGATTAGCACCACTGTACTCCAGCCTGGGCAACAGAACGAGACTCTATCTCAAAAAAATATGATATATTTATATTCTAGAACATCTTAGATATATAGAAAGCATATATTAAAAAAACTGTAATGCCATCATCTAGAGATAGCCACCATTCAATTTTGTCATATTTATTTCTAGTATTACCTTTTCCTATGTCTGCAGACACTGAAACATATATGTATAGACAAACATACATTGATATTTTATAAAATTAGGCCTATACTGGACATAGTTTTTTTTTTTTTTTTTTGAGATGGAGTCTTGCTCTGTCACCCAGGCTGGAGTACAGTGGCACAATCTCGGCTCACTGCAACCTTCACCTCCTGGGTTCAAGCAATTCTTTTGCCTCAGCCTCCCAAGTAGCTGGATTACAAGCGCCTCCCACTATGCCTGGCTAATTTTTATATTTTTGGTAGAGAGTGTTTCATCATGTTGGCTGATCTTGATCTCCTGAACTCAAGTGATCTGGCCGCCTTGGCCTCTCAAAATGCTGGGATTATAAGTGTGAGCCACTGCACCTGGCCCATAGTTTTAATTTTTCATTTGCTATTATGATATAAGCATTTTTCCATACCATTAAATATTCTACAAGGTTTGCCATTTAGCTGTGCAATCTCGGACAAGTTATTCAACCTCTCAGTGCCTTATTTTGTCATCTACAATAGGGATAATAATGGAGATAATGATATACTCACTATACAAGTTTATTGTATGCATTAAATTCATGTAACGCATACGACAAACTTACTAATGCATGTAAAATATTCAGAACAGGCCTGAGATGTTATAATTGCTGAGTTGATATTATTCTTATTTTAAAAACATGATTTCAGATCACCTGAGGTTGGGAGTTCAAGACCAGCCCGACCAACGTGGAGAAACCCCGTCTCTACTGAAAATACAAAAATTTGCCGGGTGTGGTCATGCATGCCTGTAATCCCAGCTACTTGGCAGGAGAATCCCTTTAACTGGCAGATGGAGGTTGAGGTGAGCCAAAATAGCACCATTGCACTCCAGCCAGGGCAACAAGAGCGAAACTCCATCTCAAAATAAATAAATAAACAAAAAACAAACACCACCAAAAACCATGATTTATAATTTTTTATAGTATTTCATCCTATGAATATATAATAATATATTTAGCCACTTCCTTATGGGACACTTTTTAAAAACCAAATATTCATTATTACAGGTAATTCTGTGATGAATAAACATTTTTGTACATAATTTTTTCCCATGGGAACATACATAATATACATTTCCTGGAAGTGATATTACTGGGCGTCACAGCTTTCAGGTATAATACAGTGTCCTTTTGATTTTATTATGGAAAAGTGGTGTTAAAATATGGGTTTTTAATTATCACTGGGTTAAGACAGAGAGTTGATTCTTAAAGGGTTGTGATATGGCATTCTTCTGCCTATTGATTTAGGCATATCCCATTGGAGGCACATCAGGAGCCACTGGAGTTATTGGTGTGAAAGGCAGCCATTTCTTTTCCTCCCTGTTTGGGCCAACTATTCCTACAGGTAACTTTGGGTCTACTTGTATAACACAGAACAAGCTATGCCAAAATGCAGGCATTTTCCACTACAGAGACTCTGAAATAGCTCTTTTGCAGAACTAAAGAGGCTAGTAAGTTTGTTACTTTTTCCCTCAATGTAAAAATTTTATATTCCTAAGTGTTTAGAGCTGTGTTTGTTTAAAACACGCATGTCCCTAAAAATTCCAGTCCAATGAATAAAAATTCCTCAGAGCAAAGTTGAGGCAAGTTAGGCCTTAGAAATCTGAAGCAGAGATTATAGTAAAACACAAAAAGTCTGGGAGATGCACAGGTGTTTCTCTGAAGGACATTTTTTTTTTTTTTTCCCAGGTGATACACTTGGGCGTTGAAGGACATTTTTTGAAATCATGAGAACCGAATGTTTGACTAGGAATGTTTCGTTATAACTGCCTGGAAGGTTAGAGTCAAAGAAATTGAGGTAGGAATATTTATAAATACATTCCTTAACTTTTAGCTTGTGTATGAAAATGGAGAAGATTATGTGGCTTATTGTTAATTTTCCTTGGCCCCTTATGTGGATTTCCCCATACCCCAGTTGCAATTCTTGGTGGCTTACACTGGCAAAACAAAAAATCATTCTTCACTATGGTTTGGGACAGAGCTACCAGATCTTATTGGGAAGGTAAATCCCAGGAACCCTTCCCCATATTTTGCCATTCTGAACCCTGATTTGTATAGATGATAATTTGACTCTGAAGCTGCTCCATTTAACAATTACAAGTTCACAATGTTAAGGACCAACAGTAGCATCACGAGGCTTAGTAAAATTAATTTTACACACACAACTTGTATTTTTCTTTATGCAATTTGTACACTTACTGGATTGAGAATTCACAGAAAATATAATTAAAGCTATCGAAGCCAAAGAATATAAGGATGTTTCCCAGTCTTCAGTGTCACTGTAATAATAGCACCTTGTGTAAGAACTCTAAAAACCTTGCCAATCCTTTATAAAATGAGATAACCACTGCTGTCATTAAAGGAGGGCAGGTCATCCCCCAGCAGGGATCAGCTACTCCTGCCTCCTACTGTTTGCTGATTTAATTCTCTTTGTAATAGTGAAGCTGGATTAGGAGTCTAGAGTTAGCGCTGCATGCCTTTCCAAAGGAACCAGGGAAAGACTAGGAGTCAATTTCATTACTTTCTTGAGGTGCGCCCCCCGAGCCTCTGAGGTCTTTTCCTTGTATTTTGGAAGTTCAGAGCTGGTTCAGGGAGATACCACTTCTTCCTTCAGTGCTGCAGGTATTTTCTGAAAGCCTTCCATCAGCAGTCCTGATCTTGGTCAGTGGGACCACATTTCAGTCTTTGTTATTACACAGAATACAGCTCTGCTTCTAAAGGCAAAGAGGCAGAGCGCTGGGTTTACTTTACTGTTAATTAATTGATGAGTTGTTTCGTTTATGTTTAACAAATAGATATCAGGAGTCTGCTGTTTGTTGAGAGCTGCATTAAGCTCTGTGGAAGTATATAAAACATATAAAACACAGTTCCTGTTAAAAGCAGTCTGGAGTATAAGATAGAAGCACTGAGCACTAGAGAACAGAATAGAAAAATTTAATATTTTCCTGTTCTAACTTGGCCCACACAGGTTTTCCGTTAATGATAAAAGGACGTAACTGATAATTCAGAAACATATACCTTCTTAACATACATCATCTATGGAAAAAAAAGCCGTTAAGGCACCAAAAAAACCTACTGTAGGACTGTAAAGATATTTACCTATTACAGAGATTTATTGATATGATAAAATTAAACAACCATAACTCTCTAATTTGTTAGAAAATCTCCATCACCTTCTGTCATTCCCAAAAGTCTATCCATTGAAAAAAATTCTCTTTAAAATAACATCATCAGCTTTCAATACTCTAAAATAAAAACAAATGGACTTTTTTTCAAGGTTTACAAACATTTTTCAAAATAAATGCAAAGTAAAAGGTAGACAGGGCCAGCTGGTGGTGGAAAGGACTAAGGATTTCCTTGTGTGGTACAGAGCTGGAGTGCTGTGGAACTCAAGTGAGGAGAGTTGGGCATTAAACCTCTCGGAAGATGAAATGAAGGGAAAGCAAGTGAGGAAAACAGGTAGAGAGTTACTTTCTGCACCTTTGCTTCTGACTCCTTATGGGACTCCTTAAGGGCAATTTGGAAATGTACCCTGATCCACCAATCATGGTTACATACAGTATTGTTAAAATATATAAACATTTAAAATCTCATAATGAAAGTAATAACTTTTATAGAGCAGAAGACTCAGAAAACATACACATAACACACAAAAGAAAAATAAATCATCTATAATCTGGCCACCTAGAAATAACTATTGTTATGCCCTGACTTTTTTTCCAATGTAAATGATTTTACATTGGGTTCCCAGATCAGAGGGTAAACAGATTCCATAAAAATAATGAGTTAGATTCATATAAGATTGTTGTATTCATTATTGTGACAATAATTTTGACCCTATCTACCTTTTACTTTGTAGTTATTTTGAAAAATTTTTGTATTCCTTGAATAAAACCTATTTGTTTTTATTTTACAGTTCCATTGTGATTATTTTAGAGTATTTGAAAGCTAATGACATTATTTTAAAGAGGATCTTTTCAATGGATAGATTTCTGGGAATGACAGAAGGAGATTTTTCTAATAAATTAGAGAGTTATAGTTTAATTTTCTCATATCAATAAATCTCTGTAATAGGTAAATGTCTTTATGGTCTTACAGTGGGGCTTTTTTTGGTACTTTTAACAGTTTTTTTTTTTGCCCGTAGATGATGTATGTTAAGAAGGTATGTGTTTCTGAATTATTAGTTAAGTCCTTTTGTCATTAATGGAAAACCTGTGTGGGCTAAGTAAGAATAGAAAAATGTGAAATGTCAGACAACTTAATGTTTCTGATAGGTGTGAAGCTATTAGGTGAACTTAAGCCCTTGACCACCGACAGGTGCATTTGGAACAGGAAACTGCCTGAGCAGTGGCCTTCTGCATGTAGGGAAGAGCCCTGGCCCTGGAAGTGTGCTTTCTGAATCTGAAATTATTCTATTTGGTCTATCCATTTTGTACCCTACCAGGAAAGGGAGCAGAGGGGTTTTGTGTTTTAGAAGAACCTTACAAATTCTCCATGTTCCAGAAGTTATTACTCACCATAAAACTGCAAAGTAGAGTTTATTCCTTTTCCCTCCACCCGTCGCATGTGTGTCTTTTGACTGATTGAGAAATCTTAACTTTTTTGCAAATTAGTGGCTCCTTGCTGTGATTTTTAAAAAGATGTTTTTTAGTATACTGTCTGGCTGCCCTAGTTCTATAATGTCTTTGATTTAACTCCCCTCCCACCCCTTTTTTAGGTATCTCTGAGACCTTTTTTGGAGAGGTGGGGATCATAAACTCAGAGGCCATGCAGGTAGTATAATATGAATATAAGTTTCTAGGGAGGAATGGTAAGAACTATGACAGACCGGAGAATACTTCTCTCTCCAACGGTAATTCAAATAAAACAGAAACAGAAATACATTTTGATGGCCAACAGGAAATCCAAATTTGGCTTGAAACCTACCAGTTTATGGTTCCTGTAGTAATAATGGTAGTAGAGTAGTCACGTGATGATAATGATTGTAAAAATAGCTAACATTTATTGAGCACTTACTATGTGCCAGGCACATGTCTATCTCATTCTGTTTTCACGGTAAAGGTAAATGTTATTATTATCCCCACCTTAGAGATGAAACTGAGGCTTAGAGAGGTTCTTTGTCCATGTTGCAGGGATCGTAAGTAGCAGAGTCAAAGCCAGGTTTGTCTAACTCAGAATATTGAGCTCTGTGATGTGTTTTGACTTTAGGCCAGAGAACTTTGAATTGGACTTGGAAGAAAATAGTCAGTGGTTAAGCTACTCAGAGTGTTGGCACCAGCCAGTTTTGTGGCCTTGGGGGAAGAAGCCAGGCCTGGAAAAAGGGGCAGTGTTCTTGGTCCTATAAGGAGGAGGAAACAGCCTAGCCAGGTCAGCTGTGGTGTGAACAGGCTCTAGGAAAGTCTTCACCAGGTACTTTGGGAAGTGATGGCTTTGGTGGAGGGTAAAGAAAGTAATAGTTCCTGTGAGGTGCAGAAGATGTGTGTGGGTTTGTGGGTGGGGGTGTCTGTGCAGCATATAGGAGGGGAAAATCAGACTAAATGGAAGTTTAGTAGGAGCTTGTAATGTAGGTTTTGGCAGATTTGAGTAAGGTCTACTGGAATATTTTGTACCCTGGCTCTCCTTAACTGTGTATGTGTGAATATCTAGAGCTGTAGAATAAATAACTAAAATGTATGGGGTTGAGATTTAATCCAGGGATTCTTGTTGCAGTACACTTTAAAACTGAATGAGGTTTTAGTCTGGGCGCAAGGGACTGTTTTTTGTTTGGCTTATCTTGGTCGGCTTCTACTTACACACCACAGAGTCGCTTTTCTTGGGCATAGTGGATCTCTATCAGGATCACTGGCATTTCCCGTGATATTTAGCAGAAAAGGGGTCATAGAGAAATTATCCTCACAAACCTTTGGTTGTTGAACCAACCAGCACCACCAAAATACTCGCTGTTAACATAGCACCTTTAAGCAAACAAGTGACTTGTTGTACCTTGTAGTTCTCAAACCTTCTCTAAGTGACTTTAACACAAGGAAATGAAAAGTAAAGCCAATCTGTTCGTATAACCGGCTGCATGTGAACATAAACCCTAGGAAACACAGCGGCCTCTGTGAAAGGTCTGCTTGCATAAACCTCACAGAGCCCTAAAGAGAAGTTTTTTTAAAAAGTATATATATACACACACATGCACAAAAGGAATTACAGGAGTATATCTTGACTTTTGTTCCTGAAAAAAAGTGGATATACTACAAAAATTTATAAGAAGGTAAGATTGATTGATGGAGTTTACTTTCTGCCGCCTAAAGACTTTTAAATAGATACTGAAGGAGAAGGAAGCACATTTAGTTACAAGAAACCTAATATGTCTCAAAGTGAGTAGGGGTGGGACCAAAAGTCCAGCAAGAGTGGATCTAGGGAAGCCCTTCTGTTAACTGTTTCATTGGTTTAAAATGATCACTTTCCTAGAAGGAACAAGAAAAACTGGTCCAGTTTGTTTTCAAAGTTGGAAGAAAATACTTATGTAAGCGGCTCCTGACTTTGTAGCGTTTCCATGTGGAATATCATTCAAGAATTTGGCCAGATCTCAAGTGATTTATGTTTAGCAAACAAGATTATCTTCAGCTTCCTATTGTGGAAGAGCAAATGGTTTGGGGTTTGGCTGCTGCTTTTCAGCCTCTTTTTAATTGCTTCTTCCAGGTAGTACTGCATTAATCTTTGTTATTTATCTTCAGTGTTGGTTTGCGACAGAAGCAAGAAACCAGAACAGTGACTGAAGCTAGAATGGCTTAAAGTGTTAATATCCTTGTT